TGAATACACGGTGCTAGTGTTCTCTTGCTTCTCTCGCACCGGCCTTGGACACAACGGTCGGTTAGCTTATTGTTCGTGCTAATTACAAGAATAAGGCGCGGGTCATAACAGCTAACTCACATAAAACCTCACTGTAATGACTACCACGCTCAAACACGTCGGATGCAACCCCTCTCGGGTGCGGACGCACGCTCGTCCGACTTTCAACTTCCTCCAATCTCGTCTCCACTAGTTCTCTACAGGATATACGATTCCTCCGACATGGCGTCCCACTTCTTCTCTTCCCCTACGGAAGCGGGCCTGAAGATCGCAGCGGCTAAGGTCTCCCCGATTAACTTAGGCAACTGTGAAAGTTCACTCAGTTAAAAGTGCTGAAAAGGTCTGGTGCGCGAGCTGCAGTTCAGACTTCCTGTAGTCCCTGGGCACAGGGAGCGACAATAAACCCAAGCCGCTCAGACCAAGTTAAAAAAAACCTAATGAAAACGAACGGCTGTCTGCAAAACCACTTGTTTGACTAGCGAGCTGTTCTCTGAGCCGTCCATTCAGCAGTACTGCAAAAATAACCTCTGTAATAGGTAAAAAAATGTACATTGATGGAGGCGAAGATGTCTATCCCGAGGCTGAGGATTCACAACAAACGAATTTCCCATGAGATAGAGTACGCCCTCTAGAAAGGAGCGGTCTGTTGGATTTCAGCGGGCCCACGTAGCGGGAGCCACCATAATCTGGTCAGAACTGGTGCTTTTTTACGATTTACAAGCTGAACGTATGCAGCCCTAAACGAACTCACGACCGCCGCGCGCATTCCTGGTGCGAATCCAGTGTGCCGGAAGGGCACATGATGACCTCGACCCATCGTCGAGTACGACTAAGTAGATAAAGCCCCCGCAGTTAACAGGGCTGGTGCAAGAGTTAGGATTGAGATCTACGGTGATCACCGGCAGAGAGAATGGTGTGTTCAGCGGTGGAGAAACCCCCCAGGCGAAGTTACAAAAACTTAACTTATTTTCCCAAAGGACGCCTTTCCTTGAAACTCAAGGAAAACCAATGTACGTCGCCAAGCTGTCTGTAAAACCATCCGAGTTATCCATCCAGTATTACTGAGTAGATGACCCCTGGAAAGGCAAAACAGTACGCGTCAGTGGAGATGTACACTAAAGAACTGACTTTACAGAAAACAACCTTATCAAAGGTAGGTCGACACAAGTCCTCGCCTCCCAACGGGTGGAGAGCGACCTAGCTGGTGTACAAGGGCCAAAGCGACAGTTCGTTGCCAAAAAAACGATTGCGCTCTCAAGATGACTACCACGATGGATTAGTAGTGCTTCTTTGCGCCAGAAGCTTGAAATGTAATTGGACCGGCATTTCCACGCCGATATCAAGGACAAGCCAATTCGTTGAAATTGAAAATACCTCAGCTGTCAATCAAAACTCCCAATACGCAAAGAGATGTGGCAGTCAGCGTTTCTAAGAGTCACTGCTAACACGAAAACATTACCGACAAAGACCAGGGAGACCAGAAGGACCACTGTGGGCTTAGTAGTCGTCATCAGCCAGCTATACCCAACCCCAGTTGTTTCGTCACCAGAAGCCTGTTGATTGTAAGTCCTTGCCTCCCGTTTTCTGAATGGGGTCACACACCCGACCGTCAACTCTGGTGGAAACTGAGGTAATAGTCAGACAACCCAACGAGAAAAAACAAAACACAGAAACCAGACGAACACCGGACCCTCACCACCTCCAAACATAGAACAGATAAAAAACAACTGGACAGTGCGAGGATATCAATAGAACCTTCTGTATTTTCACAGGCAAAAAGCAGTAAAAAGAGGGCGAGGTGTCAGAACAGCAAGCAGTGATGAAGGGGGGGGGAGGGGGCAAAAGAAAAAAAAACAAAGGAGGATGTTAATGAGGTGCGCAGAAACGACGGGTCGACACGAGGCCAGGGGAGAAAGTCCTAGGCGGCACGCGTTTGGAAGAGGTTTGGATAGAAGAGGAGACCACCGTCGGTGTCGTCGCGACACAGTAGGCCTCGCTCCTCTGCCTGCAGGAGGCGTTCGCGTGCGAGGATGGGTGCAATGCCCGCGAGGCGAGCCAAGGCACCGGCTGAAAGACACTGGTTGGACTCCACACACTGCAGAGTGGACCGCGTGGTGGACTCGTCGGACTCAGAGGCGAGTTCAATTATCTAAACAAACAAAGACGTAAATGTTGTGACTCCATCGTCGGCGTCACCAGGTTTATCACCACCATGGCTCGAATGAAAGCAAGCCACAGCGGGACGAGTGAGTCCCGTAACCAACCGATGAGTGCTTATGTACAAATTTATATATAATACGGCCTTATTCTGCCTTACTTCAGCCAATTATAACCCTGAACAGCACCTGAGATCAGAAATACTAACGCAGATGGTCTATAGAGGGGCTCTAGCAGATATGCCACTAGCAGTTAATCGAACCGAATGTCATCAGTGTCTCGCCATCTACTGTTATCGCTTGACCAATTTCGGCCTTGTGGTGACATTTTCCACCCCATACGGAACCTGCTTGCTTCGAGAAGAAAATCGGTCGATGCGCACCCACCCCTCTTTGAATAAATCAGCAGGGACAGCGATCGACAGGTGGCGAGGCACTGATGAACCTTATTTCGACGAAGCGCTTGCAACCCATCTGCATAATATGCGTACGTGTACTTGTTACGAAGAACATTTTTGTTTAGAGAGGTGATTTAACTAACTTCCGGGGTGAAAATGCAAGCATCGCCTACTTGTACTGGTAACACTTGTGACAATGCCTGACCTAGCCGAGCTCGATGATGTCACAGGTTGTACCCCTCCCCTTCCCAAACAGACGATCCGTACAACTAGACCTGGACATTATCTTTGCCAACGCCGGAGACCAAACGTCCAAAAACAAATGTTATGTCTTGACGGACGGTGTCGAGCCAGTTTCTGAACTAACCTCTCCCTCGGCACCTCCAAATAGGTAACGATGTTGCATCTTGAGCTGTAACACTGACCTCGTGAGGTTGACAACGAAGAATGTGCCTAAACCGCCTCAGTCGTCTTTCTTGGATGGCCTGGGATATTCTTGCGATGTTGCCGCAGCGAGTGCACTGGCTAATTTGAGACTAAGTCGGTGCACTGGACTCGAAAGATTATCCTCAAGCAGAAGTGTTCAAATACCCCCAGTTTCCGTTCATCTTCTTTGTCCATAGCCAACACTCACAGTTCTAGAGAAGGACAGAGCGGACGGATGCATGATACACGCAAATTTTCGTGGCAATGGGGATATCGCGTTGGGTTCTTAGGCTTGAGATAACCCGGTAAGCAGCATAAATTCGGGAGACAATGTCATCCCTACTCTGTCTATTCGACAGCAGCCTCACCTCGAGTTATTTGAAACGGCCTCTTTGAAGAGTACAGCCATTAACCTAGAGAGGTGTCTTCTGCTGAACAATTTTGTCTTCCCAGCGTCTGTGTATAAACCATTAGACTACAGATCACCAAAGCTTGAAGCTAGTCAGGCGATATAATTGGCCTGGTCGAGATCGATTAACCGGCGTCCGGATGCAAGCTAAACACCGTTCTCTTTATGTAGGAAAGAGGTAGATGAGAGATGAAGTTTTAAGTAATCCATTGAAATAAATGACAGTTAACTGAACAAATTAACCACATGATCTTCTTAGTTGTATAATCTGGTTCGTGATGAAAAGGAAGATCTTCGGAAAATCGAGTTGTAGTCGTGAATTTTCGAGCAGGTAACACGTGCCCATCGTTGGACTAAATGAAAAGTGAGGGATGGAATTGCCGCACTAGAGGGTTTTGGGGCAGAGGTTACATCGTCTGGTGAATGTACACACACACGCAAATTAGTCCATCATAAATATGCAGCTGTTTTTCAGGAGATAGGATTAAGTCAGTTGAGCTGTGCTGAAGAGCTCAACGTTTTCAGCCGAAGAAACGGTCTGCTTGACCCCTACTAGCTTACCATAACACCACTTTCAAAGCGCTTCAGACGCAGGGGCAGCTTGAGGCGTTCCATCATTTTGGCCGCATAGAGGAGATCCTCGGGCGAGATGAGTTCTACGCCCCTGGCGCGGTTTATGCGACAGTAGGCTGACGCGAGGTCGATACAGCCGCTGGACTCGTGGGCTCGATCTCCGCGCGTACGGGCCGTGAGA